CCATACCTGACGGTCAACTAATATGGGGGCGCAGAAATTGTCAAATGCAATCTTTATCCAGATTAAAAGAGGTCGGACCATCCTAGTGCTCAGGAAATCGCTGCTTGCTACGTATACAAATGTCTAGGCCGGGGCGCGACGACGGCGGATTTAGAGCACTGTGAGCGCCTAGAAGTCTTACCGGGAAGCTGTAAGAGGCATCCCGTTGGACAAATCGATACGCAAGAAAATTACGTTAACTAGTGAATTTTGGCCATAATCAAGCCAGTGGTCGATGTACGCCCCAGGCGCGCATTAGACACGATGAGCCCTAGCTACGCGCGCCCTTTAGAGGTCTCTTCATGGCCAATTGTTAATATTTTAGAAATTAGGTTATAGCGTTTAAACCCAATTTTAATAAAACTGTAACAAATTAAAAAAATAGGATTTGAGAGGCCCTTCAGTCTGTGCCGTCGGCCTGAAGCTTGGAAGCTATGCTTAGCTCATGCTTAAATTTCGGCATGGGTAATGACCCGGGGTATTAAATAATTTCTTTGGCTCTGATTCCCTGCGTACGAATTGCGGAGTTAAATTTGAGGTTGTTAACTGATTTGCTCTTGTGGGATTTTTCATGTTGTATCCTAACGGCGTTGGGAGAATGCTGGACATCGGTTAGTTACGTAAGTTAAATCCCTTTCAGTTGCCTATGTCACCGCTGCGCTGCATCGATTAGTGGCGTAGGGATTAAATTTATCTAGCCGACTTACAAATCTGTGTCTTTTCCGCCGAAGTTCTTCACACGTGTCTCAACGCGCTTCTCGATCTGGGCACCAGTGCCTCCTGTGTCCTCCGTTAGGTCAGTGACAAATTTTCGAATAAACGTTCACGACTGCCAGGGAACATGAATACAAGTCGTCAGTGATGTGGACGTATACAAAGTGGTTTAATATATCGACTCGTATAGCAACAGGAAGTGTGAGATCAAAGAATGGTTTGGCCCCAATTAAGGGCTGTATTATATGTATGTATGTATGTATATATATATATATATATATATATTATGATTGTGATGGGAATCGACTGGAATTTCAATCGATTATCGGTTTCCCTTAACCGATCATGATCAAGACTTGTTCTTTATTATAGTAAGCAAGTTGTTTGTGTTCTAATAGTGTAGGCTGTGTAGGGTGTGTGTGTGTGTGTATGTATGGTTTTAAAACCAAGGTCCCAAACCCTGCTTGGGCAGAAGTGTGAGATAGGATGTATATAAACTGTATGAATGGATGGATAGATGGATGAATCGGCGAATGGATTGATTGATGAATAGATTGATGGATGGATGCATGCATGGATAAATAGCTATATGAATAGATAGATGTTCCCTGAGCACCATTTCATCACGAAAATTACATATAAAAAAGATAGATACAGAACAACACATTTTAGTGACATTCTCTCACTCACCTTCACAATGTTGCTTGGCTGCCACTTCATTTGACAGCAGGGCTAGCACGGCAATGACGATGAAGGTCGGAAGAAGCCACTCTGAAGGATTCATGATTCTGTTTGGCTTCTACGCTTTAATCAGAACGTTGGTTTTTCCTGAAATCTAAACGTAAAAGTCTAAAATCTAATGCAGTTGGCTGAGTTGCTGCTGTTGGCATCTCTCAAGACTCACCATCATGTAGGCTGACTTAGATACAATAAGCGTAAACCAGCAGCAGAGTAGGTCTCCTAACCTATTCAGTTCTGTGTTGCGTATGTCAAGTCAAGTGTTGCCGTTGGTTTACACTACTCAGTCTATAGCTCTAGTACTATAGCCATAGGCAAGTATAGCGGCTACTGACACTATACCTTAGCATAATATTAATTATACCTATATTAATTAATAATAATATAATATAATCTAGTAGTATCTGAGACGAGTATGCGATGAGCTAAACTGTAGGCCACAGACATTTACATTAGATCTTGTGTGACACTGTGACTATCAAGTGGGTAAACTACATGATGTGCCCTAGTCCGAGATTCCTCTGACCAATACCCACACCGACGATTTTGGTGGTTTTGGTGTGGGTTAGGGTTGGAGGAATCTCGGACTAGATGTGCCCATACGCGATTCACTCATAAACATTACTCACAGATCTATCGATGTATACTATACGAGATTATAGATTGATAGAAGAATAGTCAATATAGAGGCGCAATGCCAATGGGGTTCAGTTCAGTTTAACCCGACCAGGCTGTGCGACGGATTGTCTATACATATAGGATTATTCTAACCCTAGCAATACCGTTTCTTGGAGCTAAGTTCAGTTGTAACTTGTAAGCTACGACTTCTTCCTCTCTCGCGATACAGATACACAATCAACAACACACAATCAAAACAAAGTGACACAGTAACCAACGACGGGTAAATATCTGATACTCACGAAATTGTGTATAACGATAGTCTTTATAATGAACTCATGTCAACCATGTCAACTACTCATTCGCCGACACGTCTGCCTCAATGAAATTATGAATCAACGTGTCTCTCGCTCTTTGGTCAACTTCCTGTGGGACGTACGCTGTTGGCGTGCCCTGATTCGCCAAGGATGGTTGCATCCTGTTTATACGTTGCGACATCTATTGGGAGCTTGTGATGGATTTGTAGTCATGTCGTAATCTCCCAAAGGTAAGGTTGCGGCCAGGGGCGGCGTAAATACCGGGGAGGGGGGGGGATGGGGGAATGCATCCGCCGCTCTTGAAGGAGAGGGGGATGGCCTGTGCAAATATACCCCCCTGAAAGTCAAAAAAAAGAGAAGAAAAAAAGAAAGAAGGAGGAAGAAGAAAAAAGAAAGAAATGTGATTGTTTCAATTTCAGCGTAATGCATGAGAAATGAGTTTTTTTAATGTATGTATAACTCGATCATTTACGAGGGGGTCAAAGCCCTTTTCGTACGCCAGATTCCGGCCTATTTAGAGAGTATTCCGTACGCCGAGGTGCGGTACGCCGTACGCGGTGATGACAGTATAACGTATTCCGTACGCGAAATAATTGATACACACGCGCTCACGCACCCACGTCGCACACACGCGCACACGCGCTCACGCACACACGTCACACACACGCGCTCACGCACCCACGTCGCACACACGCGCACACGCGCTCACGCACACACGTCACACACACGCGCTCACGCACCCACGCACACACGCCGCACACATTGATAAAAAAATCGTGAGCCCCCTTAGGTCTTTGCCCCCCCCAATCGAAAACTGCTTCCGGCGCGCCTGGTGAGAACCTTTTTATTGTGGTGTGATAGGTGCGTCAAACGATTGGCTTCTTTCCCTTTTTTCTTTGTCCAGTTTTCATTTGTATTCAGTGCATTTTGAGAGCGATACATAATTGATCAGCACAACTTGAGAAAATGTGTGTCTGATACAAGGTTAGCCAAGAACCACCACCGGCCGTTTCTTTTTTAACACGTTTTTTTTTTTTTTTTTTTCTTTATTTAATTTAAAATAATTCTTATTATGCAGAAATCCATCAAGAGAAAGTATGTTTATGAAAAGTTTAGGAGATATCAACTCGACATTAGAACACGGATTCAAGGATTAAGCGGGGAAACGACAAGTTATATTCACGCAAAGAGGACACTGAGTAAACTGAGCAACGGTTCTGATTGATATATATATATATATAGATTATATGGCAAATTGATGATATATGTACACGCATATATGATATGACATGGACCAACAATAATACGGACCAATTATATTTTTGTGATCAGCCTCAACCACATGATTGGTTTTCTGCTTTTTTGTTTTCTTTGATTTTATGACTGCATGTGGACAGCCTTTGCGTAATCACTATCACAAACCAAATGCATGTTTGTGTCTGTGTGTGTGTGTGTTGTTGTGTATGTTGTGTGTGTTGTGTGTGTGTGTGTGTGTGTTGGTGTGTAGTGGGTGTCGTGCTGCGCGCAGTGAGCGCGCTCCGTCGGTGCCCGGTCCATGGCCACCCCGCTACGCTGCGGGCCCCTGCGCTGTGTGCGTGAAGGCGTGTGTGCAACGATTGTCGTGCGTGGGCGCTTTGTGTGCGACGTGTGTGCGTCGCTCCGAACGCGTGCCTAGTGCGTGATCAGCCTTATGTGCGGCGTGGTGCGACATTGTGTAGCGTAGCGGCGCGTCGTGGTGCCGACGTGAGTGTGTGAGCGCGTATAGTGCGTGCGTGTGTGCATGAGCGCGTGTGTGCGGACGTGATGGCTGCGTAGAGCGCGTATGGTGAGGCGTCGTGTGTCGGTGCGCGCGTGTGTGCGACGTGTCGTGCGTTGCAGCGCGCTTGTGTGCCGGGCGTGTGTGCGTCGAGCGCGTGTGTCGCGACGTGTGTGCGTGAGACGCGTATGTCCGCGCGTGTGTGCATGAACGCGTGTGTGCGGCGTTAGTCCGCGCGTGAGCGCTGTGTGTGCGACGTGGCGTCATTCACGCGAAGCGCGCGAAACTTAAAATGATGGTATAAAATTTGTTTTTGAACGTTTAGAGTTAACAAGTCTTAGCTCGTCACCTTTTATTTTTTCTTATCCCACTCTTCTTTTTCGGGCGGGGCTCTTTGGTTTTGACCCCCACTTTTTGAAATTGGAGGGCGGTGTCCCCCCTGCCCCCCACTGCCGCCGCGCCGGACGCCGTGGTTCTCCTTCACAACACACACACACGCGCGCGCTTTCTGTGCACACACCCGCGCGCACACACACACCCATTTACTTACACACAAAATCATGGGATCAAAAATCGTGGGGGGCGACATTGTGATATATGATGTCCCCTCTAAATTCGTGGGGGAAGTGTCCCCCTGTCCCCCCCCTCCCTGGATTTGCGCCCCTGTGAGTATGGCGTCAAAAAGTGGGTCACCTCTTTGGGAGTTGCAGAGTTCAGCTCCAAAATCGCATTCCGGAGACTGGCTGGAGATGCGGAATATCCGCAAGGATATGTACTACCAGTGATGAAGAGGCCGCAAATATATGTACTACCAGTAGTAGCATCACACAACCCAGAAGCAGGACAGGAAGGCAAATCAAATTCAACAGCAGATTTGCCGACTTCTGGGCATAAAGTCTGTACATTTTCTTCAATTATTTGCCTCTAGTGACAAGCATGACATGAAGGTGTATTTATTGCTCACCTAATAAATAGTGTGCATGAATAAAGGTAATAAATGTTGTGTATTGGACTATTGGTTACTGTTTGCTTATGTATTATTCGGGTGCTGGCTGCAGGTTAAATAGTATTCCAGATGCCAGCCCAAAATTATGGAGTATTCCAGATGCCACTGAAAATTAGAGAGTATTCCGGATGCCAAAGGGGGAGGCATGGACCCCCTCATTAACTGTACCTACAGTACAATTCAGTGTTAATCATGGCTATTGCATGGTATGAAAGACTTTCAAGTGGGGCACGGAGGAAGGAGTGACTGCCAGAAGCATATAGTCTCTCAAAAGTACAAGTGCTATGCGGGTGCAGTGGAATCGATCCTTCCAATATACCCAATATATCAAGCTTAATTCTTTGCAGCAGATAGAGAATTGTCTGTCTTGACGCAGAAGTGAGATTTACGGATTATTTAATTGAACACAATGTGCCTTTGAGGGCGGCAGACCATGCAAATGAACTCTTCAAGAAAATGTTTCCATGCTCACAAATAGCCAAAAAGTATGGTTGCGAACATACAAAACGACGTGAAATTGTGAGAAATTGCAATTCTTACCTGTGTTTTAATACATATGTATTATTACTATAGTAACCTAACTGTGTACGCTCTCTGAAAAGTAATGAAAAGTATTTTGAATCCTAACTTGTAGGGTTGAGTCTAGGGTTGAGATAGTGTCATCAGACATGAGAATATGGCCCACAGTATGCCTCAGATTGTAGGAAAATGGCTTAAATATTTCAAAATTGTCTGGGGGGCATGCCCCAGACCCCCCCCCCTAGCACTGGCATGCATACGGCACGTGCCAAACGTACGGTTGTCAAATTTGGCATGTGCTTGCACGTATGTATACATATATAAATGTATGTACGTGTGTTTGTGTGTGTGTGTGTGTGTGTGTGTGTGTGTGTGTGTGTGTGTGTGTGTGTGTTGTGTGTAATGTGCTGTGTGTGTGTGTGTGGTGCTGTGTGTGTATGATTCGTGGGCGCGATCGCGCGCGTGTGCGTAAATTATTGTGGGCTTGTGCTCGTGCTAGTATATGTGATAGTATATGATGGCTATCGCCGATCATCCCCCCCCCACTCCTCGGTACGGATTTACGCCCCTGGTTGCGGCAAAGAGTTCTTCTTATGGCTTTAACTTTTGTGAGCAGTGAAAAGACGTCATTTGGTAATTTTGAAAAAAAATCGTATATGAGGAATGCGTCCAAAATTAACCGTCGAAGTTTCAGCAAAATAATGTCATTCTTGAAACGAGTTACAGACATTTTAGAGTAGATGTATGTCACTTTCCATTTGTGTAATAATGTCATTAGGAGAGTATGAATAGCGATGACGGATTTGTAGATAAATGTTCAATAGGTAGGCGCTTATCTCCCATTTTTATATTATTTTTCCCATTTTCCACCTAAAAGTAAGAGGAATCATTGTACACGCCATTCCCCACCTCAATAAGTGGGGGATATATTCCCATTCCCCTGGCCGCTATCTACGCCTCTGATGATGATTAAGAAGAACTTGAAGAAGGAAGCGGAGAAAAAACCGAGAAGCCGGCTTGACTAATTAGTTATAATATTCAGCGCCAGATGGCGGCAGGCGTGACCCACACGTGTACAAACAAACAACTCCGTGAGATTATCACACAGACTGTTCCGACTCAGTTAAATTTCGTTATATGCTACACACTTGACGGTAAGCATGTGTTAAAATGATTAATGGCCACCTGTCTTCATTCATTGTCATTATTTTACTTGTTTCATTTGTTATATTTTGAATTTTGCTGTCGTTCGCCGATTCGGTCTAGTTCACCTAGGCTAGAGCCTAGAGGCTAGACTCCTACTCCTAGTCCTACTCCTCCTAGTCAATTTTCCCTCACGGTACTTCAACTTGTTTGCTATTCAGTATTTAGGCTTAGATGGAGTTTACAACCCACCTTGGGCTGCGTAGTGCCTTCAGTGTCCCCACCTTCCAGCAGACATGATTCTAACACGTTTTTTTCTCTCCTCCATATTGCTCTCCTTCCTCCACCTTTCTTTCTCATTCATCTTCCACAACTGCTCAACCTCTGCATTATTTTATCACGACCCCTGCTGTACGATATACGCCACGAGTGTGCGTGGAGCCATTTCCCTTTCACTCGATAATTAATTTCATTCTCTAAATGACCTAATGAATTGTTTTCAATGTAGAAATCGCCATGAAAGCCCTCATCTTGGTCGGCGGCTACGGCACGCGGTTACGACCTTTGACCCTGAGCAAGCCGAAGCCTCTGGTTGAGTTCTGCAACAAGCCTATGATGCTTCATCAAGTCGAGGCTCTAGTCAAGGTATATATGTGTTCTGTGAATCGAAGGCTTTATTGTGGGGTTTTATCATTAGCTCGATTGCCATGATGACAAAGTACTACTCCTCTGAATAACTGACCTTTGAAGGTGGTGTTTTTGTTGGGAGATAGATCAGCACTTGCATATCTAGATGCTGTTCGCAAGTA